CCAGGCTCATAACCAAGCCCTTCCACGTCTAAAACTCTCACATCCAATCGTACCGGTTTGGTAAAATTTATTAAATCTCAAGCTGTCTATTCATATCATATAAATTATTTTTATGCATTGATATGTGACTGTGAGACGATTTAGAATAGGTTAGGACGATCACATGTGTAGATGAACACCTTATGCGCTAGATGCCATGATTAGGGCTATAAGCTTTTCGAGCTTCAGATTCTGTGATACAAGGACTTTCAGCCCAAACCAATGCCAGATTCATATTCAGGGGGATTTTTTAAGGGGGTTAGGTTTGATTTGAGTCTTTAATCTCTTATGTTTTGTAGGTTTGAATTTTGATAGGGTCGAAGAAGACGACCAGAGTTTGACTTCGGCGTCCCTGAGTTTGTTGACTCCGGCCAAAGCCTTGCATGGCCAAACATCAAGTTCTGATTCGTCCATTTAAATTCCAGGGGCCCACTGAGCACGCACGTGTTTTGATGATCTGAAACTAGTTGGCATTTGCTTTTATATTATTATTGTTTTATTCTACATAATGAATGAACATCATGACTCAGTGGTAACAAGCGGGCCCTTAAAGCATTTCCCTTCTAGGTCTTGGGTTTGATCCCCAAGTTTTGTATTTTTTTTATTTTCAATATTTCCTTTTCATCTCCTGGGCTCATTATTTTTTTTGCCTAAGAATTTCAACCATTGCACCCCCTAACCCTTTTTTACAACGAGGCCCATTTGCATTTTTTTTAGTATTATTTGTTTTGCTTAATCAACATTTTTTTTAATTTTAATTAGTTTCCTTTAATCAATAAAAATCAGAAAATCAAAAAAATATATTTTAAGTTTTTTTATTAATTAAATTAATTATGTTAATTTTAATTGATTATTTAATCATTTTTTATTAATTAAACTAATTAGAATTAGGTTTTCATTAATTTAATTATTATTTTTCCTAAACAAAAAAACAACAAAAGTATTTTTCTAATCTTAGAATCTTTTAGGGTTTTTCATCCTTTCCCGTTTCATCTCCGCGCGTTATTTATTTCTTTCGCATTAATATTTTCATGAACAATTATGTAACCGTATAAAGGAATGTAATAGTTTAAACTAGGACCTTTTACATTTGCCCATTTTGGTTTGTAATCTCCCCATCCCGAAGCGATGTAATAACATAGTTTATTTCCAGCATTTTATTTTCCGCACTTGTATATATTTAACTGCTAGATGTATGCTAATAGGCTTGTATGGAAAGACTAAAAACAAACGGTACAAAACCTAAATATCTAAGATAAATAACTGAAACACAACACACTTCACACACACGCACCTCTAAGGTACCTCCACTTGTTGCCTTCAAAAAAACAGTCATGTCCCTCGAACGTGGGACGGTTTAGCAAAGACCCTCGATACAAAGATCATAGTGCCTCGATGACCCTTCGGTGTTGTCTTTCGGTAAATGATCTAGTCCCTTACGATAAATTGCTAAAGCGTCCTACAAGTTACCTTTATGACTGTATAATGACCCGCGTCTGTCCCTCAAAACATCTAATGATAGGGCTACCTACTAACTAATGGTAGGATAGCACTATCCAAAGGAAAGAGGAAAAGAACAAAGATCTTTCGAGTAGGTAGACAACTTGTAGTTGCTTGCTCACAAAATAAAACAAAATTTCTCACACATACACTCTCTTTTTCTAAATATTTTCAAAGACAAAAATACTTTGTATGCGTTCTCAACGATACGAGAATCATTACAAAGTTCGCCGCACTAAGGAGTCTTTTCAAAAATATTTTCAAAAATACACTTACACAAAAAAGAATTTTCAAAGTGAGCTAGCAACTAAGAACCCCTAGATAACTACGAATGAAAAAAGTGCTAACATCTTCCCTTTTCATAATATACCCCCCGAACTCAAAATCTTTAAAAACCTCTTTCTTGTTCTTTTCACCCTTTCCTTTATTGGATAAAAGAAAAGTCGGTGGCGACTCTTGCTAACCGCAACATTTGTGATAAAATGCAAAACCAGTAAAGTCAGTTCTTCCACCTTATTAGAGAGGAGTTGGAACTTTTCCATTTTAACCTTAGGGTTTCCTTCATGCACCTTCCTCAGGGTTTCCCATGCAACTTTTACATGAGTACAATTCTTGATCAGTTTGAAGATATTTTTATCCACTCCATTAAATATGGCATTCAGTGCTTTGGAATTCCCTTGAGATAATGCCTCATCATTATCATCCCAATCTTCTTCAGCGTTAAGCGCATCAATGACTTTTCCATTTGCCCCCTTAACTTTAGGAGGATCCCATCCTTTGACAACATTCTTCCAGGACCTTTTTCCCAGGGACTTAATGTATGTTTCCATACGCGGTTTCCAACTGTCATAATTGGTACCATCCAAAATGGATATTTTCACTGTGATTGCACCATCTTTCTCCATTGCGTCAGAAAGTAACTTCCCTGAATCTCACCAGAGTCAGAGTAGGATGCCTGCTCTGATACTAACTGTAAGTCTGGCTGTCAGATCTCAGATGTCCTAAAAGATGTCGAGACACCGGATTCTACTTCACACACAACAACAAGATGTATAGGCAAATAAAACAACGCTGAAAGTAAATAACACATGATATATTTACCCAGTTCGGAGACAACAACTCCTACTTTGGGGGCTACCAAGCCATAGAAGAAATTAACTAGATAGTATCAATTTTTAGACCTCACAGAAAACATCTCAATTTACAACCTACGCACTTAATCACTACCCTTTGTCTAATTTCTACCTAAGACACACCTAAGAATGAGGCCCTCCTCAAATCCCTCTTCAATTACACTCAGCAATTGGAGACACTCTAACACAAGTATAGAACAACAACAGAAGTCACTCTCTCAAGACACACAAAACTCAATGCTTAAAAGCTTATTAAAATTGGCACACAAGTACTCAACGCTTCATAGCTTGTGAGTACCTGACACATAAATGTTCTAAGCTTAAAATCTTAAGAACATATGACAAGGAACCTAAAACTCAACAATAATGATTTTTAAAATCCTAACAAAATACACACATAAGTTCCACCAAAAACTAGATATACACCAATATATTTATAACATTATTATAGACTGGATTGGGCTTCAAAACCGCAGCAATGAGGTTGCGCAAAGTCTACACAAACTTCTCCAAGATAATTGGTCTTCAATCAATAGTTTCCTAAAATTTCTCCATATTTAGAAACTATGCAAATCTTCAAAAACCAACATAAAATAATCTCAGTTGTCAATCTTGAACGCCACATCAACTAATTGAATATTCCCCAAATATTCAGTAACTGATAAATCAACTGAGACGTTACTGACGACTGATGTAGACACGATGTCCTATCTCCATGTTGGGACATCTTCTTCGACATGTTAAAAATAACAAGTTGAGACTTCTTTATTCAACATATTACTGTCAAGTTGTTTTTACCAAAATAATTGTCAATCACAAATTCAGAGAAATAACATCTTCTATTTGAGATTTTGTAATTTTTCCGTGTATCTTACTTTTTTATCTTGTTTCTAGACATTACTTTTGCTTTGTATTTTTGTTGTACTATAATTTTTTCCCGATTATATATATATATATATATATATATATATATATATATATATATATATATATATATATATATATATATATATATATATATATATATATATATATATATATATATATATATATATATATTAAATATACCGCTGATTTTGAAATTTTATAATTTTATCTCACATTATGGATGATATAAATTTGATTAAATAAAAAAAGACATTTGAAAATGCTTATTAAATAGCATTGGTTTTTGACTTTTCAAACAAGATGATGATATTTTTCTTAGTAATAACAAATATTAATATTTTGAATCATAAATGAAACTAAATTATTCATTTTTATGATATAACCATTATCTTTATAATTCTTTTTTTTTACGGGCATTATATTTATATTTAATTATTTATTTTTGAAGGAAATTGTATTTATAATATTGATTTCTAATAACTTTGATTTATATTAATAAATATTGTTCGGTCAATAAATAGTTAGTAAAATATTATACCTACAACTAATATATTATTTTAACTTTATTTTATTATATTTAATCATTTATTGAATAATTTAAATATAAATAATTTCAATACATTTTAATCTAGAAGTAACATTTTCTAATCTTTTATTGTGGATAAATAAGAGTTTCCTAATTAAAATTTTAAAAGTCAAATTAATATCTAGAAATACTCTAATATTTTACTTTCATAATCACATTATACATTAGAATTTCAAAACATAATTTATTTTATATACTTCAATCAAATGTCATTTTTCATAAATAATCTTAAACAAATCACTCCAATTGTCTTTTAAAAAAATATGGCATTATTTATTTAAATTAATTTTTTTATATTTTTATCAACCAATTTCGAATCACATAATAAATCGATTAATTAGATTTCTTAACTCAGAAAGACAATTTATTAATTAAATTTTGTTTCTACCGAGAATCAAATTTAAATAATATCCGAACAATTCGTTCTTAGTAGAACCTAATATAAATAACACTTTAAAACTCGAGAATCAATTGGTAAATCAAAGTACACACATATATATTTTCTCACATATCATTCAATTAAATTCCACACTACTTTATTATACATATTATTCAATTAAATTTCGGCTAGTGCGTCCTAACATATTATTCAGATAAATTCAATAATTAGATAGATTCAATATTAATATTAATATTGATCAAATTTTCAAAAACACCTGCTACACTGTAATTTATTTTTGACTCAACGATACTTTTATTACAATATCTTAAACAACCCATGCTTGAACCTATTAAAAATCAAACCATGATTTGTAAACAAACAATTAAGAACTAACCAGACTTATGAATATTTGGAATTCAAACCAATCTCTCATGCATTTTTTTCAAAACTCTCCTTAACTACATATTTGTAATCATTCCTCTTCTGAGGAAGAAGGAAGAGTATTAAGATCGAAAGGTCGAACATTAAGAGGTAGGTTCAAATCAAATGGTTGCAGTTGCACATGTCGTGGTGGTGCATTTTGTGGTTGATTTTGAGCATTTGAGGGTTCAGGGCGACGTTGATTATTTGGTGGTGGTGGTTGTGGTGCACTTGATTCTAATATTAAATGTGGATGATGTTTTTCAATCGCATGCACTCCTAAAGTTTGTGGAGATGGAAAAACTATACCACACTCATTGCATAAGAATTCGAACTTTGTCATGATTACGAAAACAATAATATTTTCAAATAATTTTTTTTAGACAAAATAGAATAGATGATATGTGTATATATAGGTTGCAATTTGAAACCTATATATAATACACATTAGGGAAAAACATGTTTGATATTTTAAAAAGATTTTCTTTAACATTATTTTTTATAAAAGCATTCAAAATTAAAAATAAAATGTTAATGATTTCATCATTTTCACTCGACTATAATAAAGAAAACATCAATAATAAGAGTGATTGTAGTACTAATTAGTAGTTGAATATCTATGAGTGAGATGTGATTAAATACGCGTGTAAGTTTACTGTGATATACATATCTTTTATAAATATTGTTAAATAGAACAATGGATAAATATAAATAAATAAATAATATATGATAAAAAAGTGAATCAGTTCCCTCGCCCATAAAGGATAAACATTTTCTTTTGACAAAAATAAAGTAATAAACTTGGAAAAAATATAAATTTTGAAACAAATATATAAAAGTACTAATGATTCTTTTAATCTGCTTAATCTAGTCAATGGTGTCAATATCACTAATTAATAGTCATACAATTTTAAATACAGTCAAAATTTAATCCCTTCTATAACACCAAAAACTTTATTTATTTATTTATTTGACTTTTATGTTATGTAATTTAATTTAATAAAATCAATTAAATTATTTATTTGTGTAAATATGATGATGTTTCTTAATGCATTACAGAAAGTCGTGGTTCCAAAAATGTATTTACGGAGTATTTTCAGAGTTATATTTTTGAAAAAAATTTAATCATAAAAATAAGATTTGATTCAAAACGAATGAATTGTATGTTTGTGAGGTGCGTTTGAAAATAGATTTTTAAAATCTATAAATATTTATGAAATTTCATGAGATACGCTAGAAGATTATGAGGTGTATTAAGAAATTTCCTTAAAATTTTATAGAGATTGATATACAAATTTTTATTAAAAAAAGTTTAGATGAGTTGGACACACTGCTCAATTAAGTTAAGATTTGCCTCAAGATTAAAAAAGTGCTTACCGGAATATTATTGGAAGTCATTCATATTCAGAAGTTGTTGTTAGAGTCAGAAATTTCTGATGTATTACTTAGAAGCAGTGTTGTTCAGAAGCAATAAAGCTTCTAATGTTGTTAGTCAGAAGTTGTTTTCAGTCAGAAGCAGAAGCTTATGATGTTACGCCCAGAAGTATGTTTAGCTTATGAGATTCTAGTTCTTTTGTTAGCGTAACTATTAAGTTTAGTTTGCTTAGTTATTAAGTTTACATTTTGTTAGGGAGTACGTGGCAATTTTACTTTGTGTATAAATAGACTAGTAGTAGCTGTCATAAAAGTAGTTAAATTATTCTTCCTTACAACTTTGTAGCCATTATTATAGATCTCTAATATTATTCTCTCTTACTTTTCCTTTATTTATTAACCTTGTACACCAACAAATTGGTATCTAGAGCTCCGGTTCGGATCCACAAGGAAACACAGGAAACACGAGTGAAACGGTGAGGCGTTGTGTGATTGATTTTGGTTCTTGAATTCATGTTGAATCTTGAACGAAATCTGAACAAAATCACATTTTCTGATTTTGTGGGATTGAGAAAAATTGTGTTTGTGAGATCTAAGTATTTTGTACAAGGTTGAAGATGACCAGAAATGGTAGTCTAAGCATCAAGCTTCCAATATTTAATGGCAAAAACTGAAATTGTTGGATGACTCAAATACGTGTGTTGTTTGGCACTCAAGATGTTCTTGAGCTTGTTACAAATGGGCACAATACCAAACAAGCACATAAACAATGTTTTTTTGCCATAGACAATGCTTTAAAGCGCTGTCTAAACCAGCGCTGCTATAAGTAAATGCAGCGCTTTAGATTAATGTAAAAGCGCTGCTATATGTCTCCTTTACGCAGCGCTTTTACTTTAAAAGCGCTTTCTTATGCACCCATTTAGCAGCGCTTTCTTATGTACTCCTTTAGCAGCGCTTTCTCTTTAGACAACGCTTTTGGTTATCTTTTACGCATCGCTTTAGACAACGTTTTTCTCTTTAAAAGCGCTGTCTTTTCCCCACTTTAGGCAGTGTTGTACCCCAATTTTTGACCTAAGATCCCATTTGCATTTTTGCATTTTTATACAAAAAGTCAAGGTCACTAAATACAGTTGGTTTTAACCTCTCACCTTCTAGCATTGATTATGCAGAAATTGTCAAGTGTTTTGAACATTCTTATGTATCACTAACTTCTAACCAAGCACAAAATGTGTGTTTTTTGTTTGATTTCATGTGCTGACAGGTATCCTTCGATTCAGCCTGCTTCGATTGGACAAGTGCTGCCTGCAAGCCTATTTCGATTCACCAAGAGTGCTTCCTGCAAGCCTGCTTTCGAATCTGGACAAGTTCACTGCCTGCAAACATGTTTCGATTGGGCAACATTGCTTCCTTCGAACATAAGATTTCGTTTGGGCAATATGTTTGTTTCGATCCACATGCTTCGATTCAGCAACATTTCTTCCTTCGAACACAAGCTTCGATTGGGCAATGCAGTCTCCTTCAGTCACAAGCTTCGATTAGGCAATACCATCTCCCTTCAGTCACAAGCTTCGACTTGGAAATACAGTCTCCTTCGATTCACAAGTTGGACCACTGTACTGCCATGCAACAAACACTACTGAGCCTGCTACAACAGTCCTGCACCAACCTGCCACTAAACTCCAAAATACTTAAAAGCCTGCTACAACAGTCCTGTACTTGCCCAAAAAGGAGTGCACAAGAGCTGCGTAGAAGAAAGGGTCAAAATAACATTCCCAAACTGTTCAAATCATTTTGTTTTCCCCCCAAAACTTCAGCAAATCCGCCTATAAATACAAGGCTTCACAACATGAAAAAGAGGATGTTTGGACCAGACGAACCTCTGCAAAAATTCTCAAACAGTGAAACTCTCAAAGTTCACAAACATTGTAGAAATCACAAAAATCAAGAAGAGGACTTTTGGGCCAGACGAACCTCTCCCAAATTTTCTCAAACAGTAAACTCTCAAAATTCATAAACACTTTAGAAAATCTTCAGAAAAATTCTCAAAAAACACCAAACTTTCTCAAACACAAAAATCTCTCAAGTCCCTTCAATACTTGTGAGAACAAACCCAGAATCCCCAAACATTTACTTCCTTCGATTCTGAAGAACAACCACTTCAGTCTCCTTCGAATCAAAGAAGCATCACACTTGCTTTTTCTTTTCCTTCAAGCCCAGCGCTCCAAGCACAGCCTGTGACCCCTCTTTCGAATCCAGCACCCAGGGCCACCACTCCAGGCCCAGCACACGTTCCAGCCTGAAGCAAGGTAAGTCACTATTACCCTTGAACTTTTCGTTTCATGGCATGACATGTAAATAATACTTTTGTTCGTTTCATAACATGTAAATACAATTCCTTTTCGTTTGAAACTTTGTACATACCATTGTTCATTTCGTTTCTACACTTTTAACATATTTTTTAGAACTGAGCTTTTTCGTTTCCGCTTACTGTTTACTTGAACTAGATTTAATTATTAAACTGCTTTACTAGCATGGCCTCAGGCCATGTTTCCATTTAATGTTTTAAATGAAAGAAACAGGAAACAGGAAACGAAGCTTCTGGCTTCTGCCATCTTTCTCCAGGTCAAACGAAAGAGACAACCAGGAGGTAAGCCATGTCCAATCGAAAGACATTCCCTCACTGCTTTCAACCACCAATCGAAGAAGGCAATAAGGCAGAATCAAAAGACTTCGCCACACACTGACTTCCAGGCCAATCGAAGGACAGGACTTAGCCTCTGCCAAGCTCCAATCGAAATGTATGACCTTGCTGCTGCCAAAGCCCAATCGAAGGACAGGACTTCGCCTCTGCCAAAGTCCCAATCGAAAGACATGACTTCACTGCTGCCAGCCCGAATCGAAGGAGGCCAACAAAATTCCAGTCGAAGTGTGCTACTGCCTGGGTCGAAATACACTCAGTTTTCTTACTTTTTTCTTTTCCTTCATATTTTTTATGCCTTTTGATATGTTTGTAATAGCGTAGGTTTTTATCTTTCTGCATTTTATTTACTTTATACAAATGTTAGTAATTAGGCAAGATAAAATCAACAAGTAAACAAACCCAAAAAATCAAAAACACTCTTTAATCATTACTTGAACATACTTTAAAACATGCAAAAACACTCAACAAATAAAAACTCTCCCCAAGGGAATGTTATCTCCGTTCTACCGCGATACTGGCCGTGCCTATTGCTAGAATGCGTGTGTTAATGTCGCCCACTAAAAAACACCAACAAATCAACTTTTTTCTAGAGGAACTATGGTGTTTTGATTCCTTCATTGGATACGTAGGCAAAAGGTCGCGAAACCCTCACGAACGCAATAATAAAAACTCTTTTTTTTCCCTTAAACAAACATAGTTATAGATAAATACACCCTTGTATATAACAAACAATTTTAAACCAAAAAACAGATATTTCAAAAGGTTCCTGCGGAGTACCGCAGATGCATTGGGTGCTAATACCTTCCCATTGCATAACCAACCCCCGAACTCTTGATCTCTTTCAAAAAATGCATTGTATTACTTTTTGTTTTACATTGCATGTTTTTTTTAGGGTTTTATTTCGCTCTTTTCCCTTTTCCCTTGGAAATAATAAAGCGCGGTGGCGACTCTTGCTTTTGTGAGTCAAGTTAATTAATAGCTTGATCTCCGATTTTCACCGCTACAGAATTGGCGACTCTGCTGGGGAAACATTGACCTCTTGCTGGTCCATCCCTAAGTGGGTTAAGCCTAATTTGTCTTATCTGTTTTTATTATTATTTATTCGATTGTTTGTTTATATGTATATATTGTGGTTATTTGGGGTGTTGATAATTTTTGCAAAGGACAAGTCCTATACCCGGACTAAGTTACACTTAGGAATAGGACGGGCGGTATAGTCATGTTAACTTTGAGGGAGTAATCCCGAAGAAGGAGGAATGAGATCCCCC